TAATGACCTTTATCACAATATGCTAATTTTTTGAGAAGGACCTGTATTATTAGTGTTTAGTTTATACCTTAGATCCTTATATACTGTTTCTTTTTATACTTTATATTTTTGCTATTGTTGGATGTAACTGGGACCTTAAGTACAAAATTTCATTCCACCTCATGTACCACATGTGATGCAAATGACAAAGCTTGAATGTGCAGGAGTCCTGACAGGTCAGTCATCTCCATGATTCAGTCATGTTTTCACTCCTGACCATGTGGAATCAGTCTGTGGGTCAGAAGCTGGTGGAGTTGAGCAGTTTGGTTCTGTTCCCTTAAATGTTGGATGTTGTGTTTGATTTGACTGTCATTTGTCTTGTGGGGGTGGGGAACAAGCTTCAATGAAATTAAGGCTGAACTTTAGCTAAACCAGAAGTCTAAAACACAACTCTCCACTATTTTTCTACTGATAAAACTTCTGAAATGTTGTGATTTTTGATTTTGGCATGCCACCTCCATTTTATCAGTGGCCCCCACTGGGCCACTCCTTTCAGGAGACCCCGTGTCAGGAGTTGGTCAAGAAAACATGGAGTCGTCAGAATGTGAGGGTTGCATTTTATTTACATCAAAAAAGGTGAAGCACCCACACCTGCCTCCACCCTCATTTACCCCACTCTGGACCCTTGAGCAAAGCACTTAACCCCCACTCTCTGCTCCCCCAGCTCTCTGCTCCACAGAGGGCTCTGGTAGCTCAGTGGTCTGTGGATGTCAGGAAGGACTTCGTCTTTGTGTGAGTTGTTCTCTGTGGCTCTGGAGCCGATACAAGAAGAAAATATTTAAATCAGAAGAAAACTGGCAAAATAAAAGTCCTTAATCACTTTTTAAATTTATTTTCCCTGGAATGAAAATTACCTCATCCTCAGCAGCCTCCAAACTGGTTCAGATTAAGACCCAGTTTTCAGACGTTGGAGCTTTGGTCAGTCTCCTGCAACAACCTGAGTATGACTCTCACCTACTACCACCTCAGGGGTACATGCAGGAGTACTGGCGGTGGCTGCAAAGATATTTTGCTAACAGACAGACACGAGAACAGTCCTCAGAGGCGGTGGGTGATGGTGTACCGCCTCCTGAGTGGGCTGTTTGTGTTCG